GTGTTAAACGCCTCCTACGTGCCCTCGCGATTGGCATGTGGTGGCCCGACATCATTTCTGTGCACATTTGCAGGGAAAGAAGCTTCATTGGACACAACGTAGCGCCACACGCCTCATTGCGGGGCTATGTAGAAGCAACTACAAAAGAAAGCTTGCGAGTCACAGGACTATAGGCGACCGAGAATAGACGTGGCATATCCCAGACGCATAGGCTTCGAAGAATCGAACCCTGAACTACCAGCGATGTTTCCCTTTCGAGATCACAATCATACCAGGGAAGACGAGCTAACTCGAGCGAAACAGCGCTCGGTCGGCCTACCGCTGGTTTATTGCCTATTACTGAAGGGGTGAGGGAGAACTCTCGAAATATGCCTCCGGCTGACGTGGAAGGAGAGAACAACATCAAAGTGCTCAAGAGTGGCTAAGATTAATTCCTGGGAAGATAGTGACAGGACACCTATATCTAATACAGGCCAATGAGCTGCGACAAGGAGTCTAATATGGTTTCACGCCAACTGTCTCTACTACCTTCTGTTTTCTAATCACACTGACCTGTGGCAAAGTCCTATGGCAAAGTCTGATCAGCGTATCATAAACGTATTCCGAAAAATCTATTCAAAGAACTGTCATGGCACACTGACAAGAATATCCATCAGGGATATTTGTAAAGGCCGCATGGACCGGTGAACTTGGCTTCGCTGAGAGAAATAGATATATTTTTTATATAACCCCAATCTTTACAGATACGGCGCTAAATTAACCATGGGTTTACCGTGAATCTTTGAGTCCCCAGCCGGGAAGCCCCGACGGAAGCCAGATCCGAGCACAATCTCTTCAACCCTCTAGACCACGTCATATCCTGCCCACCTCGCTGTTTCTTCTAGCCCGGACCAATATCTGCAATTAGTGCACGGTATAGTAGACTTTGCTCAAACATTCGTAGGATGTACCCTAGCCACTTAAGACAATGCAGTGAAATTGTTTTGCTCAATGGAACACTACCTGATTCTGACACATGTCATTTAACCTGATCGTTATTCATGCGATGATCTCACCATGCGCGAGCAATGCCGGGCAGATAACGGTTGCCGAAGACGGATAGTCGTTGGACATGATCTGCTCCAATAGGTAGTGGCTATCCATCTGCTAAGTCTAACGCTTTGCTGCCAAAGGCAGTTTCTAAAAGTACCTCATCCGCCATGGCCGCGGTGGGAATTCAGTCCCACGATTGGAGATGACCCCGTGACCCCAACCGGTCAACTTCGACCCTATTCTAATATTTATTTTATCCCTATTCGAATCTGCACCAGAGGTAGGGTCGTCAAAAGAACCACCTAGAAGTCCTGGGTTTGAACTCCGCGACCGTTGCCCATTCTCTGTATTTTCCCAGGCAGCACTTGTATGACCGCAGTCCCCTTCCTGAAGGTTTTTTCTACGTTTCTATACTCAGTAATCAGAAATGCTGAACTAAAATATGTTTTTACATCTCACCTGTGATTTTGTCGCCCACATCTCTTGTCTATCATTGATATTGTTGAAAATGAGTGGCTCCAATTTGAGCTCGAAATTTGGAATCTGAATTCTCGATGGACTTCCCTCTCCTGTGTGTTGGACATCTGCACAGGTGGACGATTCCTTGAAATTCCCGGCACGCAACAGACAATCGGGCTGTAACAGATGTGCACCACTTCTTCCAGTCTCACTTGTCATAGACATTCGCACCGGTGGTTGTCGTTCGGGAAAGGAAGCAGAACGTGTAATCATTGGCACTGTATTGGTATGTGTGGAATCGGGACAACAGGTGATTATCATGTTCTCCATCGGAGCTCTGGATCCGGGAGCAGCAGTTAAATGATTTTCGGTCAACTGTATTGAGGGTGTGTGAGACATTATATCTTTGCCGACCGCACAAAATAAATGGCTTATCGAGTCGGAATTGTGTCGAACAGCTGGACAAACCGACTCTGAGTATTGTCTTGCCGGATTAGAACTTTGCGTTTCGAGCCACGAGCCAATTGTGTCCGATGGGATGGAAGATCGACCGGTTGTGGTTTGTTGTGTGCTGTTTCGCAATTTCGAGCCCATCAGGCAAACGTCTTGTTTCAGATCGTTCGAACTCCCGTGATGATGTACCGGTGTATTCAGTTGAGCATCAACCATGATTGTTTTCGACTCGCACTGATCCGTGGCGAGACATGTTCCGCTTGAGAGGCACATAGAATGATTTGACGTGTTGCTCGGATTGGACATCATAGTGCACCCCAAGGGAATGGATCCGGTGGTCGGAATCAAATGAGAACACATCATTCCCTTCGCACCACATGGGATAGAGCCTGGTTTGACAATGGGCGATGCTGTGTGTTGCATTGACTGAGCTGTGCTGTGCATTGTACCAGACAGAATAGTGCATAGGTCGTGCGTGCCCATGTTCGGAGAGATCATGACAGTGGCTGGATAACACACGGCTGACTATTAGGGAAGATCGATTAAAAAACATGACGGATTCAATCGACCCGATGGAAAACGGTGGAGCTCTTTAAAAAACAATATTTTTAAAATGACATGATGATAGGAATCCTTCCATTTGCAAACTGAAGAATTACCTGATCACGTTGGGCTCATTTAACTGAAACCAATGCGGTTTAAATGGGACACACTATATTGTGTCTTATTTTATGGAAATTAAGATTATTATTATTATTATTTTTGTATGGTTATTTTTGTTCAGTCGGGAATAAAATCCATGGGTCAGTTGGGTTATTTTCGTTTCACCGAAAACGACATGCTAAGAAATAGATGTGTACTTTTAATTACTCGACGGAAAAACATTCCAAAATGATAGGGAAGTTGAAATAAACTTGATGTGGACTTCCAAGCAAATGAGAACGATACGGAAAGTCCATCAATAAACGGGAACATATGCAGCTTTTTTAGTTGAGCTCATCTTCCCGAATACAAGTGCTTGACTTCCATATACTACAATGGCTGATGCATGTGTTACCCACATTCTCAGATAGGCGTGGAAGAAAGCCATGGTTGACTTGACTGAAACTTGGCATGAATGAGTAGGAACCCTGAGAAAGGTCATGAGACATGAGGTCACGTTAAGCGCTCCACTTTCAGATCTCGGAGTCTTGACGATTGCAGACACAGTGATATGGGCGAATGCCTTATACAGTGGCCTTTGCGAATCTCATGAGTTTCTTTTGAAGTTGATTTGGCTAACTTCTGCATACCATACTCTGGTAATGTTCTAGGATTCTGATTCTTCTGTCTTCATGATCACTCGATAAATGGACAGTTGAAAGTTAGTACCTAAAACTGTCACGCGGAATTGCAAAATTGATGCTTTTTAAACTGAAAATACGAGGATCAATAATTCCTCACTAGTTGAACGCATTTAATTGTGATGGAAATATTTGTGATGACCGATTTGTGATACCTCTGAACAATAGAATGGGTCAACACAAACTTGATACTCTAAATTTATTGAGCCATTGGCACAGGCGATGACCACGATCTTGTGGGTCCGGGGCTAGAGGTTTGAAGTCCCTACTCTAATGCTAGCGGTTCGAGTCCTAACAAGGATACAAAAAGTTCGCATTTCGACGAGTCCTAAACAGCACGATACAGATATCTAATGCATTTTGTCGATCATCAGAAACCGCTCCGTCCCAAGAAAATGCAATGCATTTCATGAATCCTGAAGCATGACGTTAAGAAAGATTTAAACAAAAAGAAGGTAGTGAACAAATTTTGTTCTCTGGACAGCTTCATCTCATCCGGCGGGCGCATCACGGATGAAGTATCGGCACGCATACAGAGGGCTTGATAGACATGAGCCCAGTGGCAACATCTGTGGCACCCCCGTGACATCCGGCTGTATGCGAGGGGTCGCGTGTATGCTACAGCAGTTCTGCAATACGGTGCAGAGACTTGACCATTACAAGAACTGAGTTCGAACACTTCTGTCTACGCTGCACTGCACGAATCTGTTTTGGCAACCGGACGAGCAATGCCGAGGTGAGGCGCGAAATTTTGCGCCGTTGGGATGGTTCACTGGAGCAAGTGTTCAACTTTCACAGATTACGCTAGTTGAAGCATGTGTTACGCCTATCAGCAAATAGGTTGCCACGGCGCATGGTTGGTTGTAAGAATGGAACTGAACAAAGTTTCCCTCTGAAGTGATTCACTTTGTCCTTCTTTCATATTCCATAATTTCGCCCGAGTCTTTGAAAATGTTTATAAAAAGCAGCCCCTACAACTTTGATAATAAAACAAAATTTGACCATCGAGTTATGCTCGCTGTCGATCGTCTAATCGTATATTTTGGCATACAGTTTCATTCTTTCTTCAAGCAGTCTTCAGCGCACTGTAGATAAGCCACCTCTCACAGCTGCTGAAAAGAGCCAAATAGACTTAGATCTAAACTAGAGCCCCTTATTATCAATTTGTCATGGTCTCTCGTTGCCTCACCTATAATCTTGACGCTCCTTATTCATTTGCTCGCTGTTTAAATTTTAGAACCAAAATATTTGGTATTGTTGTGATGTGACATCCTCTACCCCGGATTTTGGTTTCATGCCAGACCAACTTCCCTTGAACTCAAAAGAAGAGATTGATATTTGGGCGGTCAAGCTCCAAAATGCACATCTATGGGATCTTCATAATTGATTCCGGCAATGCAAGGATAAACAGTATCATTGAAAAATGCAAGTTTGTTTGACTTTATGAAGCCTCAGGACCATCATTTGTTCAGGGGGCTCTTTTTGGCGAATAATAATATTTGAATCAGAAGGATAACTGTTCATAATATTCATGGTTATTATTTAGATAGAGTCCCGTCAACAAATATCACCAAAGCCCTTGATAGGACGATGACTCAAAAGAACCTCTGAGAAGGGATATAAATGTGCGATCAGGTGCCAATTCATTGTTGATCACATATAACTCAGACTTCATCTTTATGTACGACGATCAAAAAACCACATACTGCGTGCGAACGATAGAATGAAGCTCCACTTTTTCTGACCTCAGGAGCAGTGCATTTTCCCCCAAACATTCGGGATCTCCTTGACGGCCTGTCTGATTACTGTGCCAGCCAACTCACACCGAGGCTGACCAGAATTACCGGTTCACTTTTCTTCAACTGTCTTTTTCGCAAAACACTACCAGTTTTCGACCCGTGAAGGTAATTACTGTATAACATCTGCATACTGCCTATGGTCCACCATTGTATGCTTCCCACATATGGTTTTCAGAGTCAAATCATGAGTCGAGCTATGTCACGAAATTCCCTACACTTGACTTCCCTCTAGAAAACATACTTTGAAGCATTAAGTTCTATCGCAAACATTCGATCGCCATCCGGATTCAAGGGGCTATCTCAGATATCCTCCTCTCCGTCGCAATCCCTATAATTCAGTGCTCTATTCCAGGATATTTTTAGTATTCATCATAACTGTAATACCGTGATAAAGTGAATATATCGATACAAGCTAAGGACATTTTGTGTGTGGCCACTAACTGCAGGAAGCTAAGATACACAGTAAAATGCAAAGAACAGAGGAAAAAGTAGAACTGAATCCCCTCTGAAAGAAAGTCTGAGTAAAGCAAAAGCTACAAAGCATTGTTATCAATAACTGGATGGCAGTGAAAATATGATGTCTCTCGAATGTCATCATACTACTTTATGGCAAATACATGACCGAAATATACAAGGTTAAGCACATGAAACACCGTGTAAGATCCCCGAAATACCAGCATTAGGGTTAGATGGAGAAAAAAATTAGACACTTGCACAGATTTATTCAGAGAAAACTGCTATCATGTCTTCGCGAGAATCCTTCAATTTAGTCAAGGGTCATGCACCTGAAATGCAGTATACTTGTTTTTATATTTTACATATATTATTATATTATGTATTATTGTACATTTTAATAACCGAAGCCGCTTAGAAAAAACAAGCTGATTAATTTATCTAAGCACAATATTTGCAATGGTTAGTATAAAAGTACACAGTTAAGCACAATCCATGCCACCAGAGTTTCCTCATTTGTAACCGACTTCCCCCTTTCCACTCTCTTTGCTGTTGTATTGGCACTACAATTATTTCCAAGTCGGTGTTATTAGTTTATACGTATGTATACACGAAAAATGTGTTAAATGTTTTGCCTGTTCTTCAATAAAAGGTCATCAATGCATCTTCCGTCGGCCATGACAGGCTCAGCACAGCTCTGTATCTCGTAGTTAGCTTCTTCATTGACATAACAACCGAACGGTCAGCATCTTCTTCGGACGTCAATGACGTTAAACTAATTGAGTTGCGGCAAAAGAAAGCTACTATCTTTAATGTTAGCACCATGTAAGTTCAGGCTATAAGATTTGATGCGGTAACTAAGACATATTTCAAGACTTACCGGATTCATCGCAATTACTGAGTCATGTGGACATAACTGGAGTAGCTGTACTCCGTTAGATAAAGTGCAGGGATTATGGGTCAATAGAAGAGTGCTTCCAAGCTCTAGAACAATGCGATTTAGCATAATCGATTCAAGACATTCACCTTGTTTCGGAAGTATATGCTATTAACTTTGTTATTAGGACGTTTGAAATATCCTCCTCTTACCTGTTTCCTTACCGCATATCCAATATTCAGTTTTCGTTCTTTGAAGATTAGGGTTTCAGCCTGAACAGCTGATATTGAAAAACTGAATCTGCCTACGGATAAATACCTCATTCTTTATGATAGCCTCCGCTGTTTCTTGATCTTCAAATGTGACAAATCCATAACTACCCTTGGACAATCCGGATTTGTCATAGATTACTTTCACATCTTTTATCGCGCCAAACACGGAGAAAAAGCTTCGTAGTTCATCCTCCGTGGTCTGTGAAGGATGGGATTCAAAACGGAATACGAGCTTTACATTCGAATTAATTCCACCAACAAAAATCCGGTTTGGTATAAGGGTGCCTATTTTGGGTAAAGGTATTCCTTGAGTTGCCGGATGCAATGTTGTCAATGCAATCGAACCCATCGGAAAAGCGATGGTTTCCTGCGGCTTCTGATGCAATTGTTGGGACATGGCCCAATTTTAGAATTTATTCAGTGAAGAAAGTAAATTCTCAGTCTGAAGTTCAGTTTGTTAGGAGCTCACGAATCCTTGAACATAACAGGAACAGCGAACATTTAACGAGCTAGATGTTGAATTATCTACTGTGCACCGACCAACAGGTAGATTTTCAAACAATCAAGAAAAATCAATAATTTTATCCTTGGGAGGATTACATAGAATGCGTTGTCTCAAAGAATTTCTGTTAACATTGTGATAATTTGAAGAATATATTGGAACAATTTACTTTTTAGAGGTTTATGGTCATATATTCTATGGCGCTGTTTTGAGGCTTCGCTTAATAAAGCATAATGAACGAATCATTTCAGTAGTTTCTATATCGAATGTGGATTGTTTGTTTGAAAGGGTTCCAAATGATAGGAAAACGTTGGTGTACATATAGTGAAATTTTCACCTAACTGGCGTTCCTGAATGTACGTTGAGAAGTTATGTTGTGCAATTTCTATATAAATACAGATTCGCGTTTTCTTTAAACGGACTATTCATCCTAGCAGACTAAATTTGTTCAACTGCCTGGCTAGCCTTCTTAGTATGACTAACAAGATAGACATACGAGGTGACAAGATGGAGCTCACAGTCTGCTCTCAATTTGGGGGTTGGGAGCGAGTTTACCTGATCGCTGGTCTTTTGGATATGACCAAAAGTCCAAACTACCCAGTGCATTTCGATGCCCAGCTAAGCGAGAGAGGGTCGGGTATAGGAGAGGCGATATACCAGGCAGTCGGACGGCCAGATGCTCTAAGGTGTTGGTGAACAATAGAGTTGACCATTGTCAAATGAGCGACAGCTCAATACCTTGAGATGCTTTTTAAAGAGCGTCTAGTCAATATGTAATCCTGAGACAACAGACGGGAGAAGATAACAGGGAAGCAGTAAGTCCAGTGATGTAAGAAACACAAGAAAATAAATTCCGAACTTAGAGATAAAGATACCCTCAGATTTTTAACGCATCGGGACCAAATGATGTTAGGAGTGTATCGAAAAATCGATGCGCCATGTGGTGTTTTATTGTGAATCTTATATTGTTAATTCTCTACCGACATGGCTGTGTCATTAACCCTATAACATTCACAATACCCTCAGATGACTACGCTGTTAGGCGGAAAACCTCACCTTTCTTACTTTAAGAAGTGTTTGTTTCGCGTTGTAGGACCAGTTGAGGTCCAAGCACAGAAAATATCCAATGAAATCTAAAGATTGTGATCTTCCAGAACTTCAGTCGTCAATCAATGTGAGGAACGGCTCATCTGGAATGTGGAAATGGTCTACGATTAAGGGAAAACAAAACTCAAATGAATTTGGTTAGGTTTCAGAAACGATTAGCCCCGTTGGATGATTCAGAAACGTCACTTATGGCTAATTGAAAAGGGTTGTTGTTGTTGTTGGATGTACCACCAACCATCGAGAAAAGTAAAGGGGAAGACCTAATACCTTCAAGATATGAACTGGTGTCGGACAGTAAAACGGTCAGCTATCCAGTTCAAAATATGTGACGGGAGATTGTGTTGCTATGATAATGTCAGTGGTGTGTTTCTCTAAGCTGAGTTGCACTGTCAGTATAAACATTTGAACTGAATTCATTTTGATACTTGTGGTGTAGTTGCTAATTTTAATCTGAAACGGGAAAATCAGAGAATTTCTATCGATAATCGATCATGATTAAATTAATTCCAATTATGCCTCTAGATGCATCAGAAATTCTTGTACCCCAAGTAATCGAATCCCCCAAGGGCCCAACTCGAATTCTCCGTTTCACTATTGCTGACAAACATTAGATAAAAATTGCATGTCATTGGCGTAGGTTTATGTGTAGCTTGAAACATGCTCTGGTGTCAAACATGTCAATTAAGCCGTTTCTGGAACATCTAACTGCTACTTGCTTTGCAGCCAAACCCTAGATGCACACGCGTGCGCACGGATCAGAGAGAGAGACTGTCTACAGATGCCCTTGTGAACCAGGGCTTGGTTTAAGCTACGCAGAACTCTACGGTATTGGTCTGTTATTTTTAGCTACTGGTTGTGTCTGCAGCAGTGAAACCGAGAATTCGACCGGGGCCGTTTGAGAATCTGACTATTTGGTGCACAACCACCCCTGATGCACATGTATGTATTGCATACAGTATACTGTTTATCACTATTAGATAACTTTGGCAAGGAACTTATGGGTTACTTACAACATATAAACAGAAATTTACGAAGACCAGATATGAAATAGCGGATAAAATGAATATCCAGATTTATACTTCAAAGCAGGGTCTTTTCAATGTATTGTTGAGGTACACCTCAATCTGCGAAGTTCACTCTCATTCGACGTACTTCAAAGTGAAAGACCCATGTGTCCGTGAGAGCTGAATATAATGTTTTTATTTTGGATGTAAACTTCGTTGATGAATCGTCTACCTATGGTTTCTCTTTGAAACAACATTGTTCTTATTGAGGTAACAATCTAGCAATACAACAGACATTTCTATGCATGTTACGGCTGAGGGGACTTTGTCTAGAATGTTCGCATCGATATGTAACGCCTGAGCCTTATTGCCTTGAATGCCGTCACCAATTGGTCCCAACGCATGATGAGTAATCCAAGACGAAAAAAGTAATCAACATGATGTGGTCATTTTAGGTTCCCCCAATTTGAATCCATTGGCACCTCCGCGTGAAATGTTGGACGCGCTCACTCGGCCGATGAGCTCCCAAATGCTGAGAAACCACTGCATCAGGCTGATTCGTGAGGATAAGCTGATGTACAAAGAGGCGCAAGCACGGAGATTTATCACTAACCCTTAGCCGTTGTATAAGCACGTTTACTTAATGCGGAAGGTTTACTATGGCATATCGGCACTAAGTTGTGCTGGGAGAATGACAGCCACCATAACGCAAGCAGCGGAACTGCTGAAAGCTCAGTATTCCAAACCTTTCACTGCACCACATGTTGCAAGTCTACAGTTCCCTCGTTGGTAGCATCATCTTCCATATCATTTGTTTACAAACATAACATCTATTGCTGAAAACTCCAAAGTAAAACTGATGACTGTAAAAAATGCAACCCCAGGTGCGGACAATATATACACAAATCCCTCATCTTTTTGGCAAATCACGTATCCGAACCGCTTGCTTCATTGACAAACACCTCATTGCTTTCAGTTTCATTATGTAATGATTTTGTAAATTTGAATCCACAAATATGGTGTAATTGCTGAAAATACACCCATCCGGATGCATAAAGCTATTACCGACTTGACTTGACTTGATCTATTCCAACGGATTTCCGACTAAACAGCACTCCCACAATCATGGAAACAAGGAGTTATTTCATCCTTATACATAGGTGGTTGTTGTAGTGACTCCTCCGACCGGTAACCCTCCTTCTGGTGTTATCGAAAGTCATGGAGTCGTTTGAGGAAGATTCCCTGATGAAACACCTAGAAAGATACAACATTCTTTAGACAGTTTAAAATGGGCTCAGGAAAAAACGATACTTTTCCACCAAATTACTTTCGGCACGAGAACATTCGACGAAGGGAATGCGAGGGGTGCGATTTATCTGGACTTCTCGAAAGCCTCTGATCGGGTAAATCGCCAAATTTTGATACAGATGCTCAACAATTACGGCATTTGAGGTTTCGTGCGTGATTGGATAAAAGCGTTCCCCCGATAACTAACCATATCAGTTCGTGTTTCTGATTGCCTATCCGGTTCTATCAACGTTACCCGCAGTGATCCACAACGGTTTTGTGGTGATCCAGGCTTACGAGATGACGCCTACCCTGGATCGACGTGTTACAGTTTTTGGACACCTGTGATCAATCAAATTTCAAAGGTGATGTCAATGACTCGCGTACGTGACACTGCTTCTGACTGCACACCATAGCCAGCTAATCCGAGACGGTGCAGTCCAGACAGAAGCAGAAAGACGCGAGCAATACTGGGATGCTATTCGTGGAAGCCTGGATAACCAATGATCTTCTTTTGTACAAATTATTAACTCGCCCTCATTTCTTCCAAGAAACGAACTACAAACTACCATTCATATGGCCTTTTCCTCGCGTCTCAGTTACGTTGGACATTGCGTGCTATTGCCATTGTGGTCCAGTGCTTCCGTGAGCCAGTTCGTGATAGCTGATCCTTGATTCGTGTCCTGTGATTCCTATTGGGTGGTTCGTGTTCCGAGTTCCGTGCGTATTACTGCTACTACTACTGCGATTACTACAGGTTTTTACTTGGCCTGGTTGCAACGTGATCATAAAACGCTGGAGAGTACACAGAGGACTGCCAACAAGATGGTCAAAGGATTGCACTGTCTCACCTACGACGAGAGATTACAATCCCTGGGACTATATTTTGCTCAGTACCATCGAATTTGATGAGACTGGAGTTTGGTGTACCAAAAATGGCAGAACCCTAGCCATCCATGTCATCCGGTGCTCACGTTGTCGCCCGACGGACACCTTAGAGGACATAGTTCCAAGTTACTCATTCTCATTCTGCTATCTTTGGAAGGCCGAGAACGTTTTAAATACTCAGTGGCTACAGCATCCTATTAGCACTGACGTCAGAAAATTCACAAAAGCACTTCAATGTCTTGAGTGATCTTCAAAGTCACTCTGGAATTCTCTTAGGTAAATCTGACAAATGGACTTACATTGTGGTTATAAATTGTGATGATTACGTGCACAAAATGGTACAACTTCTATCCGGTCAAAAAAGTTTACCTGCGACACATTGCAAATGAACTAAACAAGGAAAGCTGAAAAGAAAATTACTGATACACAAAATAGGCTCAGACTCAGGCTCAGGCTGCATAACATTGTGTATGTTTGAAGGTCTCAAACCCATAGGCTCTAACTTACTCCGCTCATACGGTTTACTCAAACTACACAAACCTGCTATACCAATGCGTCCGACCAGCGCAATGGCAAATCCGCCTTACCATGAAACTGCCCGTTGGCTAA